AAATATCAGATACTTTAAGACTTTTCCTCAAGTAATATTCCTAATGGAGACTTTAACTTTTACCAAAGTAAAAGTTGTTTATATTAGTATTTTATTGACTTATTTTGTTGGTGAATTATAGCAATAATGTATGTTGCAAATCTCTGCCAGTGTTATTTTGTGGGTCAGAAGCAGATTTTTTTTAAATTTCCTTTTCCTGTTTTGTGGACCCAACTACTTTTGTCTTGGACCTGTAGTGGCCCGCGGTGCGGTTCCAAAATTGAGAAGCCCCCTATGGTCTCGGGAACTTTCTACCAGGAGGAGGGAGAAGGAAGTCCCAGCCCATGTTTGGAAATGTTCCCCCCATGGGGCGCCGCTTCAGTCCGAGGAGAGAGGCACTTTACCGGACGCGCGGTGTGTTTTCTAGTCTCGGACGGACTGGCGTAATAATAATAAGAAGAATATAAAAAAACAAAGCCATCATCATCTTCATCAGCATGGCTCAGGCGAAAATCCAGGCGAAGATGAACGAAGCCGCCTGCAGCAAGTTCAGCAGGACGCTGTCCATGGCAGACCGCTCCGGGCAGCTCCTGGAAAGTCTGGATCAGCTGGAAATAAGGTGCAGCTCGGTTACAGGCCCGAACCATGGGTCCGCTCGTGTGATGTCTGAGCCCAGAAACGAACCCACTTCTTTGCTCTGGCAGCAAACTGATTTAGTTATTGTGTGTATGTGTGTGTGCGTGTTTTTTTCTTTTTCTCATCCAGAGTGGAAACTTTACGCGAAGCCGCGAGCGCCATGGAACAGGAAAGGGAGTCCATCCTGGAAATGATTCAGTCCYTTCAGAACAGCCAAGACATGAGGAACATCTGTGCCGGTGAGGCTGCTGGAACTGTGTGCAGGCTTTGTTAGCAAAATATCTCACTGAATGGATTTCACTGAAACTTTTTACAAAACTGGATGAACACTCAAGATGGCCACACAACAAGCAAAACACAACTATAGTTTTACAGATATTGATGTAAAACAGGTGTGGTAGCTGAGAGTCATCCTCTATCTTGCAAAAATCTCACAGTTGCATAATATGACAGTTTTAAAACTTGACCAAAACAGCTGCAGCTCAGCACAGGATCAGATTTTAGTTAAAATATCTGACATGAAAGGTGGGTGATATTCATTATTTACAGGAAATTCAAGGACTTTAATTTGAACCCTGTTTATCTCCAGTTTCTCCACCGACTGTGACATTGTGATCCAGTGAGGTTACGCTTTTGTGGAAGCTGGAGGGATTTGAGAAAAACAAGTGTCAGCACTCCACCCACAGTGAATGAGCCAGGCTCATGTTTCACCTCTGCATCATTTAACCAGTAACTATGATGCACACACGTGAACTGGCTTGGATTGTCCTAGTTTTTCTGTTCACAGTAAAGTATACTAAAGATTCAACAACGGTATGTGAGTACGGRACGGTGAAATGTATCTCGCAATCACTTTTAAAAACAGCAAGTTTGAATTGATGGTGGATTTTCTGTAATCCGTCACGTTTATACAAAGCAAATATGCAACAATTGCATTTTGTCAAAATATAAAGAATAAATACTTTATTTACGGATCATTTAAATGAAATATCTGAAATAAAAATCACCAAGAACACTTGAGTAGAAGCTACAAAAAATAAAAAAATAAAACATTATGATTCTGAGCATTTTTGTAATTTTCCCTGCAAGCTAACAATGCTTTTTTTTTCTTTCCCATTGGCAAAGCTTAATATCCAAAAATTGTTTAAGGTTTCCTATTTAACATTACATTAAAAAAATCCTCATTAAAATAATCTAAACGTAAMATTCAGGCCAAATATTAATGAGTTATTCTAATTAAGAAGACAAATAAAGACGTATTTCTGTAATCAGGATGATCCAGGTATCAAAATGTAACTGAAGGGCCAGGAATCTGAAAATATGCTTAGATCYTTTTGTRTAAATTTGACTTAATCCTCATTTTGATGTGAAGGGTCACATATATACATACGTGGTACTGAATAAATATTACAGGTTTAAAATTAACATGGATGCGATCATGATTGACTGCTGTTTGTGGTTCTATTTTCCTTGCCAGCCAAAAAAAAAAAGGTTTTATTGACAGTACTTAATGGGCGGACCAAAACTCAGGACAATAGAAAAGTCTAGCAGTGATTCCCAACCAGGGGTACATGTACCCCTTGGGGTACGCTTGCATATTACAGGGGGTACATGGGAAAATTTTCCAGCTGTGTAAAAAAAACAAATAAAAATAGGACTGAGATATGTAGGACCCTATGATTTCCACAATGCGGAAACTGCGAACAGAATCACGAAACTGACACAAAATGGAATCCTGTATAAAATGCGGAATCTCGTAGAATTTGCTCATTTGGGGTATTTAACGTATTTTGGACGCTGCTGTTTTCTGCACCTGCRGTTACCTTGGTTTATTTATTTAATTAAGTCACTTTCAAGGCGATGTATTTATCTTTGTTTAATTTGAGTTGAAAATAATAAAGTGCCTGAGAATTAAARGCTCTAGGGGGTTAAATAAATAATTTTCATTTAATAATCAGCTGTTGTACATTATAGTTTTGGAGAATCATCATTGCGTTTGACAGAAGAGGGTACTAGTGGTATGACAAAATGGCTCAGGGGGTACACAAGTCTAAAAAGGTTGGGAACCACTGGTCTAAGGAACTGGCTGGGATGTTCAGGGACAACCTAGGAACCACCAAGGTTGCCATGAACTGGAAACTCATGAAGTGTCTGTGTGACTGACTGGGTACCAATCAAGACACCTTCAAATRTGACAGAAAACTTCAGCCCAACCTCAAACAAAAAACAAGGAGGGGAGKTGAGTCTTGTCAAACCTGAGGAAACTGTATGACGTGTCAAAGCATGGTGGTAGTAGCATCCTACAGGTTGTATAAATATTTTCCCCCTTTCTTGTGCGTTCCAGGTGAAAGGGAAGAGCTGACTTTGACTGCGGACCGCCTGATGGGCCGAACGCTGTCCGTGGAGATCTCCGTCGGCACCATCCGGAACCCCCAGCAGGAGGAGGCGCTGCTCAAGGCCACGTCCATCATCGACGAGATCGTGAAAAGGCTCCTGAGCGACATGGAAGGGGGTCGGCAGCAGCTGCTGGCCCTGCACGCGGCCTGCGTGTCGGAAGCGCCGCCCGTCCCCGTCGACCAGAAGTTCCAGGCTGTGGTGATCAGCTGCGCCCTGGAGGACCAGAAGAAGATCAAGCGGAGGCTGGAGAGTCTGCTGAGGAACGTCAGGAACGCCGAAAAGAACATCAAGATCATGGATCACCAAAAACTTGAGGACACAAAAGCCAATGGAGGTCACTGAAACCTTAAAGTGTCTTAAATTCCACAAACCTTATAGAAAAGTGTTGTGATGCTTTACACTATTAGGATTTTACCTGTAGCAGAAAGCCTTTAAATTACATTTTTACTGTTAATTGGATAATGTGTTGACACAGTGCACTTTGCATGTTCACTGATGCATTTAAGACAGAAAAAGATACACTACATTTTTTGCCAAATAAGTGTTAAAAGCAGTAAAAATACATTTTTATTCTGATTGTTGTATTCAAATACACAAACGATTCTGATTTATTGCACACACTGGACAATTTAACTGAACAACATACCCAGTGGTGTCTTTAATTTTGTCTTTTTATATGTCTCACATTTGAAGGACTGAAGTTTGTACACTACCTCTTTGTGTGAATGCAACACATTTTGCATAAAGCTGTGCATTTTTATGTTCAAGGCAGTTTTTATGTAACAAACATGTAATAAAATACTGTATAAAACARCTCAAAGGAGTTATTGAATATAAAAAATGTTGCTAGTGGAAATTGACAAGTATCTGACTGTTGTTTGTCCAGTTTTGGCAAAAAAAAAATGTACGGGTTCAGTGGGTCCATTGTTGCCCTTTGAAAAGTGATTGAAATCCTGATTAACATAAATCTGGAATTTATCGGAGAAAAAAATTCGAAACCACGCAGAGGAACAAAAACAACTCAAGTAGATGTTCAAGAAAAACCTTGTTTTATTTGTCAGCTTGCCATCGAACACTCTCTCCAACACATAAGGTACACAAATCTCAGCTTGAGATACATTTGTACACACCCACAACGCTGATCTGACGCTCTAAATATGTAAAATTAGTTTAGAAAGTCATGAGTGAGAAAGCAGGAACACATGTAAAACATCATTACACCTGAGTAACAGCACATAGTTATGGTTAATTKTTTAAGATTAATCGCCATCTTAATGATAAAGTGCACGTATTCATTCGGTCACAATGTAAAAAAGCTGAAGTAAACAATAGGGTTTAGTTTTTTTCATTTAACAGCAAAGGAGGGAGTTGAAAATGTAAACAGGCTTTGCCACTATGAACATTCATTGATGTGAAAAAGGCCTGCATGCGTTGAATCTTAATTATTTTCCTTATAAAAAAAGTTCAAAAGAAAAAAGGCATGAAATGGGGCATTTTCTCAGTCCCAATGGTTAAAATGAGACATATATGAGCACCTTTTTTTTGGATTTTCACAATAAGTGGAAAACGAATAAGTCCTGCGCTATTTATATWTTTTAAATAAAGACAAAAGCATGCATGCATATGTACCGTCTTTTTGTCTATTTTTTCCCCATATAAAAACTTACAGTTGGAGCTCCAAGTAATGTTAATTTGACATGATTTGTACTACAAGACTTTTCCACATCACCATATATTTTCATGTGCTTGGTCAACCACTTTATTTCKGAGTTTTGCACAAAACATTTAAAAAGTCGTGCAAAAAAAAAAAAAGGCATGTAACACAGCTAGACTGAGCTGCAATTTGGAGAAATTCTTTTGAGTACTTTCATCTAGTAAAATGTTTTCGTGTAGGCACAATTGAGGACTTAAGCAGCTTTATGTCCAGTCCAGATGATTTGCCTGCAACACTCCCAGAGAACAACGGTTTCCACAAAACTCAATACAACCATTTAGTCTTCTAGTGTTTCTGGGCTCACTATTTCTTTAAAATCATAAAAGCAACAGAATGATATTTACAAGAACAAATCCAAAAGATTGTAAAAGGTCTAGATTGCCAAAGCAAACCTGGAGTTTTCACAGCTGTATAATAAAGTAATTTAAAACAATTAATGAAATGGTGAAAAGAGGCTAAACGCATTATGACCGATTATAATCTCAGTTTAAAGCTATCAAATCTATTCTGAAATGAATAACAATAAAGAACTCTGTTAGTTTAAGTGGTTATTGATATTTGGTTATACAGAAGGAGCACATTCCTATACATTTTATGTTACYTCCAAACCACTGCAATGTTAATATTCATCCACAGCTCAACACATTTGGCACAATATAATCACTCAACACTGTTGTGCTTGGTACAAAAATACTTGTGCAGAGCGATTCACCTCTGGATCTGTTTGGGGATAAACAGCATAGTTTGAACCATATTCCGTCATTTGCTAGAAAAATATGGTACAAAATAATCTGTATATCTTGTACAATACATGCAAACATCTTGCACAGCTGACATGTCAAACACAGCGACGACAGGCTGTAAAAGTCATGTGTGGGAGCAAATGTTTTTAAGAGACAAAGTGCAATTTCAGCTGTAACACATCTGAATGAGTTCCTATAGATTAGGTCTAATTTGAAAAACTTCAATAGTGAGGACCCCCCCCACCCCAACATTCAGATATAAGTTGTTTGTGGTCGACTTTAGTTTATAGAAAATCTAATTTTATGCATATAACTGCTGTTCCCTGAAGCAGATAAACGAGAAGCACCACATAAAGCATGGGACATCACACTCATAAAACAGACGAATATATAACACAGGTGAGGCCTGTCACCTGTCATTATGTCATTCACCTAAAAGTGTGATTAGAGGCGTCTTCAGTCAGAACATGACGAGGTGTGATATCCCATACTTTACGTGTTGTAATGACTGAATCGACTCAAAGGAAACGTATCGTAGCTGCAGCGATTACTTAAGGCAACCACAAGGAGGCCCCAGTGGCGTACAAAACTGTCAGGTTTTGCGTGCAGAATATTACTAAAAAAACACTTATGTGGGGGAAAAAACTTTTTATATGGTTTATTTACGTGTCATCTAGGGCTGCCACAAACGATTTTTTTATAGRCGATTAATCACCGATTATTTTTTTCGATTAGTCGACTAATCGGATCATACGTTAATTGAATATTAAACGGCGCCACAATGCAGCTGTTAATAAATAACCATAGTTAGATTTTAGCTATATGCTAACTAAAAATAATTGCTGTGGAAGGCAAGTTCTGCCTTGCAGATATTGCACACGTTTCTCTTTCATTTTCTTTGAATGATCCCACACTTTTGAGCTCCGTTGTCAGGTAGCCATGATACCAGAGCCTGTCTGTATAATGTTTTGTGACGTCCACAGCCTACCCCAGTTACCACTACTGTGCATGTGTGTCAAGGACAGAAAGACAGATGTGGCAGTGGATGGTGTCAAAGCAGTTTGGAGAGAAAAAAACCCACAAAACAAACAAACAAACAAAAAAAAAAAACCCAGACTAATCGATTATTAAATTAGTCATCGACTATTTTAATAATCGATTAGTCGTCGACTAATCGTGGCAGCCCTAGTGTCATCAAAGTAGTGTTTTGTTGGATTTCCTAGTCTGTGTTTTAAAATCAGTAARTAAAACAAAAGGATGTCCTTTAAAGCAGGCTGCAACCTCCAAACGGATTTTTACTCCTCTTGGTCCTTTGCTTGTTTGGTCGCAAAGTGATGACTTCTCTGCCGTTGCTGGAGCTCTGGTTGTTAACATTACTACTAACTGTATTGAAGACACCTTTGGGGAAAAAAAATAAACATAAATGGTGTACCCCACCACTAAAAACKTGCTTTGAATTAAGTCTGTTAAAATAAACCCTCTTACCTATTTTATTGCTTGTAGTGTGGACCACCTCTGTCTCCTCAGCRGTTTGCTGTTTGAGTCTCTGAAGATACTTCTCAGCTAAGTACTTAAAAACTGCAAATAAAAACCAAAACAGTAAAACATAAAGAACAATTCAGCTTGTATCAGACCAATTTTTTTTACCCACCTTCATTGACATTAAGATCCTCTTTCACTGAAGCACGATAAAACCTCAGCTTCAGTCTTTTGGCTAAAGCTTCCGCCTCTTCACTGGGAGAGTACAGAAWGAACTCTTTACATTTTGCTGTTGTTTTGTTACACTTACATTGTGTTCTTTATGTTCTGTTGCTTTACTGCCATTTCYGAAAAATCAATCACTTACTTTTTAATGACCGTCTCTTCCAGAAGATCGATTTTGTTTTGCACCAGCACTGTGGGGATGTCCCCAACCTCTGCTTCCACCTTCTCCCTCCAGCTGTCGATGGCCTGAAACGACTCCCTGTCTGTAGTCGAGAAGACTAGTACACAAGCCTGGGCACCTGGAAAGCAAGAACATGTGCCGACAAGTCACGTTTTTATTGATTTCTTGAATTTATCCACTTGAAATATGAAAAAAAAAAACACTTAATATTATTTGTGCCAGTTCAATACATTTGTTTAACAAATTGTGGCCAGTTAATCATAAAATCTGTGAACAAAAAGTGTTTTTTTTCTTTTTCAGTTGCCTGGGAACACTGTAACCCAAAGCACCTGTGTTTTATTTATTATGATGATCTTACCTCTGTAGTAAGCCTTGGTAATGGCATCAAACTCCTCCTGCCCTGCTGTGTCCCAGAGCATTAGTCGGACCTCTTCATCATTTACACTACAGCAGTAAACAAGTAATATGAGGAACAGAGGAACATGTAAGCTTACATTTATCAAACAGCAACATACCAATCCTAATCAATCACACTCAAACATTACAGATCTGTACATAGAAATTATTAGATTTCACTAAGGGAAAAATAYAAAGATAGAAAACTAACAACCAAACAAAAAGCCAGTCGCAACAATCACAGTGGCCTCAAATATACATGACAACAAAACAATCAGTTGCTTACACAATCTGCCTTTCTAGGAAGTCCACCCCGATTGTCTTTTTGTAGTCTTTAGTGAAAATGCCCTTGCAGTAACGCTGGATCATACTGGACTTGCCAACAGCACCGTTGCCGACCACGACCACTTTGATGGCCACTTCCATGTCCTCTTCCAACATGTTGGCTGCTTTTCTCCGCTGTTCTCGGTCGCTTTCAGCAAACAAATGACCAACTGCGGGTGTCAAGCAAAAACGTTTCAACATAAAGCACGTTTTTTTTTGATTTGATAAGAAATCACACATTTTAAAATATTCCCCAAATTCTAAATTTACCAAAGCTACTTGGAAAAAAAACTGCAATGCTTCATTTCAAGAATTATCAAATGTCTAAACTTTAGGCGTTAAAGCTTGCCACTTTCAATGCCATTACTCACCACCCTGACTGGGACTAAATGGCTTCTCTTCCTTACGAGCCGTAATTATCTATTGAACTAACATTCGTGCAGCCAAAAATAAAGGCTGTAAATTTTTTTACAGGGAGTATGGCAGCATGTTTACTTTTCCATTAGCACTGAAACAAGCAGACTCCACATGGCAACTAGGAGAGTGACTGAGTGCAACGCTAAACAACATATTGCTGCYAAGCTGTTCTCACTGGACTCTGACAACCTGCTGCGTTACGGTGCTGTCCAACAGGCTGCCTGGATTTGAATGACAATARGTGTGGCAGTAGAGATTAATATTAGGCTGATTCATTCATCAGTCGTTGTAGCARGCAGTCAAAACAGTTCAAATAAAACAGGATGCTCTTTTTACATCAACGTGTACCTAAAGGATACTTTCCACCTCCACAACCTTAGCTGACCGTGTTCAGTAAAAACAAGTCAGTTTCTTCCTTTTTTTGATTTAAGTTGGATTTTGAAGCCAGCTTGAACGTTTGCATCCTCATATACTTTGTGCAACTATTTATAAAAAGTGTTGACAGCACAGTGTTAAAAAAACAAATGGGGGTATTAAATGCTCCTTAAGTAAAGGCTGTGAAAATTAACAATTTACTGCATGTTTAAACATGTTAAATGAAACATATTTTCTACACAAAGCACAGGCAATTAAGAGTTCCTCCACAAACATTTCGCCCCCACCTTTCAAGCATGCTATAACAGCAAAATGTGTTTAAAGGACATCATTTACATTCTATAATAATGTCACAGCCCTGTTTATGTCAGTTTAAAGAGCTAAATGATCTGAAAATGGCACCCAGTTAAGTTAAATTATTAAACGTTATTACATACCTCTACTGCTACACTCTATGTTCACAGATTCACCAATACTATGTTCAGGCCTTATGACGGGATATCGTTAAAAATACCATTCTAGGGCACAGAACAAAACCCGTCTCATTCTATAAACATTAACTAAGCTACACTCACTCCATTGGTTATCTATTCACAGTGTGATTTATTCAAAGTCTCTACTCCTCAGAGCTTTGATCTGCTCCCCAAAAAAACGATCTTCCAGCCTTGCCTGGGTCAAAACCTGTTGAATAGCGGCTGACGGGAGGAGCAGCTGCCGGTGTTGTACGAAATTACTGACGCAATTACTCTGGATGAATGAAACATCAGAAAATATACAGAACCGGGTTATTTATTACCTGCGAAATTCCGTTACAATGTATGTATCCTTCGACATTAGATCAGCTAACCGGCCAGCTAACCCAGACTAACATGCCTACATCCTCCTGCTCTGCTCGTCTCCATGACCAGCAGAGACGCCAGACTACAATGCTAAGGTTACCGTGCTAAGGTTAGCCATTCATCACTGAAAAAGTTCTCTGCACTTTTAGGATTTACTTSAAATTAATGCTCACACACCATGACTTGACATTTAAAATAAACTCTTAAAGATTTAATTAACGTTAAAACAAAAGTATATCTTACGGCATTTTCCGTATGCATGCGCGTTGCTATTTTTCTACGAGCTAATGCTCCGGTTTGTTGTTGGGACCGAAAAGTGGCTAGCTCACTGCTAAACTCTGTAGCTCGCGCTAACGCTTGTTGCTAAGCAGCAGAGCAAGAAGAGTGCACGAGACAGMATTTTACGGCAGTCCGTTGTAGCATGTAAGTTAAAACATCCATACATTCACCTTTTCAAGTAGGATATGACATTCTTAATGAAGCCCACAAATACTTAAAAGAACATCCCTAAGGTCAAATTAAATTTAAGTTAGCAAAAACGGAACGATCAAGTGGCCATTTTACAGATGGGGATCAGGGTTACAGAACAACAACAACAACAACAACAACAACAACAACAACAACAACA